CCCAATAATGCGTTGACCGCGCGCATTTACCGAACTTTGGTCAAATTTAATGTTATGCAAAGCAGAAAACATGCATCAAAACTACGCCGTCCCTGAACAGGTTCAAGAAGGCGTCTTGAATAACAATAGCGCAAGGTATTCGACTACACATCAATCGATATGTCTCATTTGCAACTCAAACCCACTTTGAACATTAGGAGAGCATAATCTTTAGTTTTAAATGATTCTGACTAACAGGATAATAGATAAATGATTCAGTTTTGCGACTTCACGTGTCAAAATTACGGTAAGGTGGAGAGCAATGCGAGACTCGGGAAAACGGCCCATATTTTGACAATCTAGAGCCTATCAACAAATGTCTTAGTCTGAGTGCATGAAAGCTATTGTATTTCACCAAAACAAAAATGCGGCAGCCATCGCCCGAATCAAGCCTATGACATCGTAAATAACATCGCAGCAATGAAGCCGCTTAGCTTTCAGCACAGGGAAGATGTATACTATAGCAAAAAATATAATTAGAGAAATATTACTACACTGGAACGGATTCACTGACACGCCAGAGAATAACACTCACCTGAATGAGCACGACGTGCTCGCAGGTTGGGTTTTCGGCGACGCTGTGCTGCCACATGTCCTCCGTGACCTCCCACGTGACGCCGTACACAACCTCGACAATGAAATTCGAAGTTCCGCTGCTGATGCGGTAGGCCCCGCCTGAATCAGCTATGTAGGATGGTGAAAGACAGTCATTTGCTTTCAAAAAAAAATAGACAGAATGATGCCTCAGTGCAATCCCGCTTCGTCAGAATGAAAGTTAAAAGTGAGCGTGGCATCTACGTGTTTGTTCTGCCCATAAAACTTTTGCTCTCGTCCATGTAGGACTATATATGTATATATGCTATTGTTTTTTATTTTCTTTATTTGTACCAATAAAGTGAAAAGGGGTAGCGATCACCAAGTAACGGTGACAAAAACTCCGTTTATTTTCTATTCCAATAAAAAAATGCTGAATGGACATCCTGCAGTGGAGCGTTACAAAGCAGGGGCTGTCCGATATGGTTCTTTTGAACCTACAATGCAAGTGCGATTCAGACTGTACGCTGTCTTCATAGGCAGCCTCTCGTGACCCGTGATACTCGTACACGTCATAGAGGAGCGAATCAAAGCAACCTCAAACACCCCAAAAAGACGCAAAAGTGATCTGCGCGTGAAATACTGTGTTGTCACATTAGTTGTGTGTTGAATTAGGTGTTCTCAATTTTTCCTAGCAAAGTTAACGCTTGCAGTAAGAGCGTCTGGTTGCTGCATGAAAATTTGGTTTCTAGTTTTTTATTATGTGTTCTATGAAAAGCGTAATTCAAATAAATACTCTGTTCTCAAGAGTTAACGCTGAGATCATTTATCAGACTAAAATTAACAGATTTTGAAATATCAATCTGTATCTGAGTAACAATGAAGAAAAATCTCCAAACTAGCAGCTCGGACTAAAAACATGACAATATCCACGATGTGAATAATGATGAGTAGGGCAAAACTTCGAAGGGTTTAATCGGTAAACCTTGAATCGTCGATTCATTCGTCCTCTGTCACGGTCTATATGTATCTATGCGATGAATAGGCGAGTTCGAGTATATGTGTGTGTTCGTACACATGCGTACGGGGCCGTTCATACGTGACAATGTTAGAATCACAATTGTTCGGGAAGTCGGAATTGTACCCGCTCGCCCACCCTGGAACCTCCAGTAATTTCACGTTAGCCAAACGATCAGGACCAGAGTTCTCAAACAATCCTCAACCAGGAGTTCGTCCTTCCATCCATAGAGTTTCCTAAATATACACGCGAGAGAGCTCTGGCGCTCTTGTCTATGGGAGCTGCAGTGCATGGTCCTTCAGCGAGCATAGGAATTACAGTATATATAGTAAACTTATTTGCCTAGTCTTCGTGCTTTACGTTTCTTGTGGCTTTGCGTGGCTTGAAGCTGCCTTGTCACGAAACAATTGGCAAAAGTTCAGCAGTTGCGCTTCACCACGTTAATATTTTATGCTTACCGTTTCAAATCGGATCCCGATGTTCAAAAGTGTCTGTTCTTTCATTTGAAACGACATTGGAGCAAGCAATAAACAAAGTCACAAGTGCGATTCACCACCTGAAACTACGAAGATGAGGCAAATTCTTGTACTACCCAATATTCTCATGGTCGCTGAACGATCGTAGCAGAGCTAGTTCCCCCTTCAATTAACTTTAGGAAACTGTATGCTTTACATGACTCAGGTCCATGGCGTCTCAGGACCAAGCGAACCGACTCATGACCGAGTGTCGGCTAAACATGGCACAGCGCTATACTCACCAATCGCTGCCGATCATCGTTAATAGGCAGCGACCATTATTTGCGGAAGCGGGCACTGGAATACGCCTTCTCTAGTCGACAGAGTGTTTCAGCGTAATAACAGGGAAACACTGACTCTTGTAAGAAGCATTCAATGGAGGAGCGTTCAAGAATAGATCGTTAAATTTTTCGAATGCGCGTAAGGAAAAGGCGTGGCGCTGTTTTAATCACTTGAGAAAAACCGATGTGGCGCCGGACCGGCCTCTCATGCAAGAGGCCGGGACACTGTCTAGTGTAATCGCCTTCAAGCGGAAGGCGGTGCTCGCCCCAAGATAACATGACAAAAGAGCTGTGGTTACACCCAATCTCGCTTGAACGCTCCTCAAGCAGCTGCCGCGCAGGGCACGCACTCTTGTGTTCACCCTTCCATAACAATCGACAGTGTACGCGAACGCAAAATATTTTGTACAATATTCTAAAACCTCTCGACTCAAGGAAAAAGGATGAAAGGTACTTCAGGAATTCCACTACCGGACATCACAAGGCACGAAAATCCCGGATTTGGTCATTCATAGAGACCAACAAAGCGTGGTGCTGGATGTGCAGGTCGTGGGAACTCAGGTAGCCCTCTCGGAGGCTTACGAGTTAAAGCGAAACAAGTACAGGTGCGATCAAAAGTGTGCAGACCACGGGATCGCGTGGCAGAATGCATCGACGCGCCAGCTAGCGACGAGACACGACGAGACACCTGCTGCAAGGGCGCATGCGCGTCCCGTCTTATCACTTGGCTTCTCATGTCGCTCTGTTGGACGCGGTTACGGCGCTCGTACCCAAAACGACAACTGGGTGTCGCTTTCTTTGCTCCATCGAATCTGTGTCATTCTTTTACGTAGCGGCTGCGACGGGGCCGGTTCAACACCGGCTCGCGTTGTTATTGACACCGGTTGATTAGGATAAGTAAGCATAGCGAGCATCGCACAACCTGACGAAGCCAAACGCACAAAATTAAATTTTCTCAGGCCAGCTTGCCTTTGTCGGGCTAATCCAAGTTGCACTTAAATGAGCTTAGCTAAGTCAAAGTTAATGTAGCCGAAATTAATCAAATGTAGTCGAGCACTTTATGACCTAAATAAGTGAGGTGTAAGTAGCTTTAGTTAAGCCCAGTCCAGCTTGGTGTTTTCATGTTAAGCGAAGTTAAGCTTAGATGAGCCCAGATGAGTCGAAATAAGTATAGCCAAATCTAATTAGGCAAAGTTGATCATGCTCATCCTTAACCTAGCCGTGCAAAATTAGCCTATACAAGGCAAACCTTATCGGGGCCAATTAATCTAGGTCGACTTCCCCATGAGCGCACAGAAGTCAAGGTCAGGAAGATACTAATTACTCTTTACCGACTCCATACTAATTAGGATAATTTACGTCTAATTAGTGCTAATTATTGTGAACACTAATTATGACTAAATATTAGTCTGAAATCCAGCTAGAGTATCCTCTATACTGGAATTTCACGTGGCATAATTAAGCTAAATATGCATAACTAATCTAATTAGGCAGACACCAAGGAAATTATAAAAAGTCTGATTAATCTTGGTTGGTCATAGCATGATCAAACCAATTGGATTATGATTAGCTTTAATTAGGCAACATCTTATTAAAACACAAATAATTAACGTAATTGAAATCGAATTCTCATGAGCTCAGAGAATCCAAGCTCAGCAAGATGCTGATTACTCCTGACCGAGTCGAGTCTCATTTACCTAAATATAAATCTAATTAGCCTTAACATTATTTATAAATATTACTGAATAATGTGCGTGACATCAAAGCCCACCCGAAGTACTCGAGTTTGATGTCGCAGAATTATGCAAATCACGGCTCGATCCGCCTAATATAGACATCTATTGCTGCATAGGACGCTTTTGAGAGTAAAGGTGTTTAATGCAGTGTAATTATTCACGTCAATGTCTCCAGCGCAAGCAGGCTGTAAAATGCTAGTTCTATTTTTTCTGGGAAATGTGCAACAGAGTATCTAAATTATAATAATGGGAATTGTGGTAATTAATGCAACATCAAGAAATGCCAGTGAGGGCTCAAGAATGCGCCTTCGGTTTTGGCGCCAGCTTGCATCAACAAAAAAGGTGTCAGTCGGTCGCTAGTGCGTAGGGTTGCATTTTATATCTCAGATGATTCCGCTTGATAATTGAACCCCTGAACGATGGTTATGCCAAGCGACAAAAAGAGGCATAGGTTGAAGCATTCGGCCGCATATGCTGCAGCAATTCTGTGTGGCCATCCTTAGCACGCTTAGTCCGACGCCCTACCTCCGTTATCACTGCAAGCGATGAGAGCCGACGGTCACGTTGACGGATAATGTAAACGGCTCCTAGGTAGCAGACTGTGGAAGCAGCATCGAAGTGGTAGTGCTTCATTTTGTATTTGCAATGCCGCCATACGTGCCACTGGAGCAGCGACAACGTATTGTGGAGCTGTCGTTGCAGGGATGGTCCCAACGCGAAATCTGCCGCTTGATGAATAGGTCGAGGGCCGCAGTTAGTAGAATTATCAGGACCTACCTCGACCATGGAGGAAGTCTTGCTGACAGAGAGCGCAGTGGACGTCCAAGAGCAACGGACACTCAAACTGATTCGCTTATCGTGGCCTGTGTGGTGGTAGACCCATTCATTGATGCCAAGGAAATCCGCCGTGAGCTTCAACTGGACGTCTCCCTCAGCACTATTCGGCGGCGACTGCGAGAGGCCGGGCTGTGGGGCTGCGTGGCTGCTCAGAAACCTCAGTTGACGGAGCGACAGAGGCAGCTAAGGCTCGAGTTTGCGCGTTCTGTGGAGGGCTGCACGGTGGAAGAATGGGGCGAAGTAATTTTCACCGACGAATCTACCTTCTCTTCGCGATGGGACCAGCAGCGTCATGTATGGCGCCCTATGAATTGCAGGTGAGATTCACCTGCAGGTTTGATTCGTGGCAGTTAACAAATTGACCATTACTTCAGTAATGCCATTTGTCAGCTCCTCACACTTTGTATCAAACCCTCCCGTGACCAACAACACTTATAATACAAATGTCATTGCTTGTCTCCTTCCGAGGCAAGATTTATATATCTTTTCTCCCATAGAACAAAGTATTTCAACATATATAATATCACGCGGGCCTTGAAGCATCGCTAGGTTACCTGTCGCGACTATTCCGTAGCACCTGAACTATATACAGGACGCTCGGCAGCTTACCCGAAAGCCGCGGGTTCAATCTCGGCAGTGGCAATCGCATTTTTATGGAGTTGAAATGCTAAATGCCGGTGTATTGTGTGATGTCAGTGCATGTTAAAAGAGGACCTGACAGTCAAAAGTTCCGTAGCCCTCCACGACGGCATGCATGCCCTATAATCCTATGTTGTTATGGCACGTAAGATGACAGATATATTATTATGAGTAATTGATGCGTCCCGTACTCCGACGAAACACTGATTTTTCTGATTAAATTCCCCCAGATACCTTCCAGAATACTGCCACAACGTTTTGTCCAGCGGCCGCTGCGCCGTGAGCGCATGGGGAGCCATCAGCAAGGAGGGACTCGGTCCACTTGTCCGAATCAATGGATCCTTCACGGCATCCGCTTATTGCAGATTGCTGCAGGAAGTGCTGGTGCCTTACGCCCTGGAGGGACCATTCGAGGATGGCTGCTACCAGCTGCAGCACGACCGAAGTCCAATCCACACAGCTCGCATGGTGGCCACGGTACTCGAGAACCTTGCCATCCGCACTCTGCCTTGGCCCCCCGTCGGTGCTGACCTGAACCCGATTGAAAATGTGTGGGGCATCGTGAAGAGCCGCCTGTCTGCGCGACGGCTTTCAAGCGCGACTTCCGAAGCGCTTTGGCAGGCAGTAAGCGAGGAGTGGGAGCGCCTGCGCCTTACCCCTGAGGTGGTCGTGAGGCTGTACGAGTCGATGCCGCGACGCGTCCAAGCCGTCATCGCCGCCAACGGAAACCTGACACGTTACTGAGGAAACGTGTGGCAAGACGCCTGGTGTTTACAACCTCACACAATTAATTTCGTCGTCTTTCGGACCTGGGCGACCAGTCACGCAGTCACTTTTGCCGAGATATTCAATTCTCGCGCTCGGCTCCGACGCACGGAAGTGCTCAGGCGCAGCTTCGTCGTCGTCGTCATCCACATGCTGACGGCTCGCCGAAAGTACAAGCTGTTATGGACCGAAGGATCCTTGGGTATTCAGTTGCCGCTTCGAGAGGAGCAGAAATACTTTATTATTTTGCCAAGGGGGAAAATAAAAAAAAAACGGCTCAATGGGGCCCCATGTTTTTCTCTCAAACTGACCAGCAGAAGTTTATTTGAGTCCTGAGGGGCCAATCTGAAAGAGATAAACAATATAAAAACTCAAAATAACCTGATAATTTTAACAATATCACGCAGTCCCTGCTTGCGCCATTTATGTGTAGCTTTCCTCACAGCTTCCATTGTTTTTATGGCGACTGTTCTCGCTGTAGCACGTTTTGAATCGCAAAGGAAATCCCTACGGTCGAGCTTGTATAAACGTAACAGCCAGATATTTTACAGGTGACGCTGAGCTTTTTTTAGAACCGCTTTTTTATTGTTCAGACGGCTTCTTCTAAAATTGTAATTATGTTTTGATCTTTTAGGACTAGACAGCGGCTGCATAGAAGAATTATTTTATCAGCAGCTAAGTAATCTAATATTCAGTAGTTTTTGTATTGTTTCAAAAATACTGTATCTTTCTCTTTCAAAAGAGCATATAACTGGCCATTGCGGTTAGACTGCCTGTTACTGAAACTCCTGAAAAACAGCTAAGCACCACAGAAAGCAGCGCGCCACTCGATAAACGAAAAAAAAAAAACGTGGGCAGCCTGCACTAAAGGCGCAAGGCAAAGTCACAGTGAAGCTAATGGTTTCGTAGCAAGTCCGATCTCAATTAGGCGTAACTAGGCGTAATTTGCATAATTCTGCGACATCAAACTCGAGTACTTCGGGTGGGCTTTGATGTCACGCACATTATTCAGTAATATTTATAAATAATGTTAAGGCTAATTAGATTTATATTTAGGTAAATGAGACTCGACTCGGTCAGGAGTAATCAGCATCTTGCTGAGCTTGGATTCTCTGAGCTCATGAGAATTCGATTTCAATTACGTTAATTATTTGTGTTTTAATAAGATGTTGCCTAATTAAAGCTAATCATAATCCAATTGGTTTGATGATGCTATGACCAACCAAGATTAATCAGACTTTTTATAATTTCCTTGGTGTTTGCCTAATTAGATTAGTTATGCATATTTAGCTTAATTATGCCACGTGAAATTCCAGTATAGAGGATACTCTAGCTGGATTTCAGACTAATATTTAGTCATAATTAGTGTTCACAATAATTAGCACTAATTAGACGTAAATTATCCTAATTAGTATGGAGTCGGTAAAGAGTAATTAGTATCTTCCTGACCTTGACTTCTGTGGGCTCATGGGGAAGTCGACCTAGATTAATTGGCCCCGATAAGGTTTGCCTTGTATAGGCTAATTTTGCACGGCTAGGTTAAGGATGAGCATGATCAACTTTGCCTAATTAGATTTGGCTATACTTATTTCGACTCATCTGGGCTCATCTAAGCTTAACTTCGCTTAACATGAAAACACCAAGCTGGACTGGGCTTAACTAAAGCTACTTACACCTCACTTATTTAGGTCATAAAGTGCTCGACTACATTTGATTAATTTCGGCTACATTAACTTTGACTTAGCTAAGCTCATTTAAGTGCAACTTGGATTAGCCCGACAAAGGCAAGCTGGCCTGAGAAAATTTAATTTTGTGCGTTTGACTTCGTCAGGTTGTGCGATGCTCGCTATGCTTACTTATCCTAATCAACCGGTGTCAATAACAACGCGAGCCGGTGTTGAACCGGCCCCGTCGCAGCCGCTACGTAAAAGAATGACACAGATTCGATGGAGCAAAGAAAGCGACACCCAGTTGTCGTTTTGGGTACGAGCGCCGTAACCGCGTCCAACAGAGCGACATGAGAAGCCAAGTGATAAGACGGGACGCGCATGCGCCCTTGCAGCAGGTGTCTCGTCGTGTCTCGTCGCTAGCTGGCGCGTCGATGCATTCTGCCACGCGATCCCGTGGTCTGCACACTTTTGATCGCACCTGTACTTCTTCCCTGAGCTCACCAAGCAAATCAACCCCAACTCCTCTCCGGTCGTGGCTGCAGTAACAATGTCCTATCGTGGCACATGGGCCAAAAAATATGTGAACGTTCTGACAGACGTTGGATTTGGCTGTAATGACTTTAAAGTGATGTCCATCAGATGCATGCAGGGTGGCTTGAGGGCCTTCAGTGTCCACCAGGAATCGACGCCGTGGTGCGACCCCGTCGGTAGCAGTGGTTCAAACGGTCTGGTCTTGATCGCTAGTTGCAATACCCGTCGGTCGACAAGTAACGATCGCCGGGATTTGGGTTCCTGTGCCCTTTCTGAGTGGCCTCCTAAAGATGCATGTGCGGTGGCAGCAAACGCTGACACAAAGCTACAGGAACACTATTCAGGGAGTGCCTATTCAGATCATAGGCAGCATGGCGGACCGTATCACAATAGCGTATGCGGGGTTATGATTCATGGGACACGATGCGCTAATGACGTATTGAAAACTTTTCAAATAGCGTACGTTATTCATTAGCGGATGTTGCGGGCGTAGCGTTTGCGCATGAGTGCCATACGAGTTTTCCAATGTCGTTTATCCCCCGCGAAAGCAGACGCACGCTCGAATAACTGCAAAGGGGCTTCGCGGGCCACACGCTATTTCAAATTTCCTGCGGGAGAACAGCAAACGCTAATTGTCTGGCATTATGGTTCCAGCGCAATGACAGCAACTGCAACAAATAGCGTACGCAAAGCTTGCCACAGTGGAGACAAGCGCTAACGCGAAGCCTTAAGTAGTTTGTTCTTTAACTATTTGGTATCACATTTCCTCGACATACTCGCAAAACCGAGAAGAGACGAATACAAAATCGCAACAACCACAGATAGCGCGTGCCACTACATACGGGACCGCGGCCTTCTCTGGCCAGTTTATAGGCGCAGATGAACGACTGCCCCGAAACACACACACCAGCCCCAAAAACGCCTTATGAACACGTGCCGAGACCATTTCACTCAAAGAAGGTGGTGGTAGTGGTTAGAAGAGGAGAAAGGCACGTAATTTCTGCAGCCCGGTAGGGAGCATGGCGCAGTGCCTTAAAGATCCCTGAGTGCCGCCATAGTCCTCCCTGGGGTGTTCTTAGTGCACGTGACCTCCCCCCTCCCCCAAAAAAAAGCAGTGCCGAGGCTGTGACGTCGGCTTTTGTAGCTTCGTACAAGAGTGCAGAGAGAGAGCAATCCTCATCTTCGTAAAAAAAAAAGGTTCATATGTGGTTATAAAGCCTAAAGCCACAGGCACGCCGTCAACAAGGCGTAAGGCACAATCGCCACTGTGGGCGTCGTGGTAATCCGTGAAAAGCAGCGAAACAAGACCAACAAGCGGTTTGCGTGATTATCGTCCAATAATTACAAACTATTGGTAACGTATTCGAGCTCCCGACTGTTTATTTTGCAGTTACTGTTTTCTAGTCTCTGAACGCGTAAGCTCAACCTAATTAGAAATCTTTAGCATGTGGCAAGCATACACACTATTTAAAACACCAAGGCAGGCACACTAAGTGAGCGTCTCATTTGAAACTCTAGCAGCCGTCGAAACGAGCCGAAAGGCAGCACCGATAGACAAAAACAGCCCAGCTGTATGGCACCACTATAATGCGCGTTCTTATGAACCTTTGCTATAATTGATACTGCGCAAAAAACGTCGCACAAGGCGATAAGATGGCTTGAAAAGCATGGAGTCATACTCACGGACCATTTCCAATCTGAAACCAACGAAGAAGGTCCTGCATAGGTTATTTGTATGGCTCGCAGCAGTGCATCGGGACAACGAGGCTTAGCAAGTCTTTCGCTCGGCGGGAGCTGCGTAGCGTCCTCAGCCTCCCTCAAACTCGTACTGCACGTCATCCCGTTTTGCACGTCTTCTGCAAAGCTCTGCACAACAGACAAATGCACTACATACACATTATTGGGCGGCGAACACAAGTTCAGGCCGCGACATGTCGCTGTCCTCAGTCGTTGCCATGGCAACGGACAAGATAGCAGACGGCGAGGGATGCGCCGGGAGTGAATCTTCGGATCACGCTTATCAGATTATGGTCTCAACGCGGCGAATGCACGTAACTGCGTGACTTCCCAGCCCAGCGTTCTCGCTCCTTTCTGGAAAACTTGCCAGCTGTCTGGGTCGTCGAAAGAAAGTTGCTGTATTTATGCGATTTTAACGCGCTCATTTTTCCTTCTGTTCGCTGTTACTCTCGAATTCGTGGGCGGGTTACAACTGGCTTCGAAAGCGGATCAGCATTAAATTAATTTCGGTTTTCAATGTGTACGAATGTTTTCAACCCGTTAGAAACGCTGACGCTTGAGAATTGTGTGAACTTGGTAAGAAGCGTGCGAGTGAAAACCCTCCAAGCATCCACTGAAACCAGTGTAGCTTCCTATTGAGGCATTTGGCTGAACAATGTGAAGAATTAGAGCCAGGAAGGCAACGTTATTGCTCATTGGTATAATACTGCGATAGCGTCAAAGAGCCCGCTTCCTGGATGTTATGTTGTTGGCGTCGGTGGCGTCGCTGTTTGCCGCGAAAAATGAATGTTAAGTGTAGCGATCTCTGAGACCGTGTCACACCCTGCAAAAAAACAACAAAGCCTCAGTTGAGTTAGGAACAATGGAATCAGAATTGTACCCTTTGTTCACTCCCAAAGTTTTTTTTTCTTTTTGAAACGCGGCTTTAAGGACCTGCTCTCTTTTTTTCTTAAGCAGTGATTCTCTTGATAGTCTTTGCGTCTTTGCCGGCTGGCTGGGCGGTGGGCGGAGATTCGTGCAACAGTCACTTTTCTTTAATTA